GAGGTAAGTCCTAAAACTTAATGAAATGCTATATTGATTTGATTTCTAGCCTTAGACACCTAATATTACCCAACATTGACATGTTATGAGAAATAAAAAGGTGATTTGACAAGAAAGGTAGAAAATGGCCTGAATAGAAGTCATATGGGCCATATTTGGTCCATTTTGTGTTAGTATGCTCTTTTGATGTGATTTCTTTCCTTATACACCTATAACTATATAATATTGATATTTTATTTGATAAATAAAGTTCATTTAATAAGAAATCTAGGAAATGGGCAAAGTAAAGTCATATAGGCTATATTCGGACCCTTTTTAGTAAAAAGCGTCTTAAACCTTAATAAAATGCTCTTTTAATTCAATTTTAGGGCTTAGACACATAAAACTAGGTATCATTGACATGTTATGAAAAAAAAATAGTTCATTTGATACATAATGTAGGAAATGAGCTACATAGAAGTCATATAGGCCATATTTGGCTCATATTGAGTAAAATGCGTTGTTAAACTTAATGAAATGCTATATTGATGTGATTTCTAGCCTTAGACACCTAATATTACCCAACGTTGACATGTTTTGAGAATTAAAAAGGTGATTTGACAAGAAAGGTAGAAAATGGGCTGAATATAAGTCATATGGGCCATATTTGGGCCATTTTGTGTTTATATGCTCTTTTGATGTGATTTCTTTCCTTATACACCTATAACTAGATAATATTGAAATGTTATGAGATAAATAAAGTTCATTTAATAAGAAATGTAGGAAATGGGCAAAGTAAAGTTATATAGGCCATTTTGATTAAAAAACGTCTTAAACCTTAATAAAATGCTCTTTTGATTGAATATTAGGGCTTAGACACATAAAACTAGGTGTCATTGACATGTTATGAGAAATAAATAGTTCATTTGATAAGAAATGTAGGAAATGGTCTAAATAGAAGTCATATAGGTCATATTTGATAAAATACATATTGTTTTGCCTAATTAATTAATTCTAACATAATTTTTTTGTATTTCAAGTTTTGCAAGGTCCAAAAGGATGGTTCGTTGACAATAAAGGAGCTTAATAAAATTCGCGACATGTTGGCGTCTTTTATCACCTTCAACATGTAAATGACATTTTAATTGTAAATTTATGTTAACTTTTGAACTATATTATTATTCAGTATTTACTTATTATCATTTGTATATATACATATAACACTTTTTTTTTATTGTATTGCGTTTGGGAATATATATATATATATATATATATATATATATATATATATATGTATGTATATATATATATATATGTATATATATATATATATATATATATATATGTATATATATATATATATATGAATTCTTGTTTTTAATATTATTTGTATCTTATTATAATATTTAATAATATTATATTATTAGTAATTATAATAATAATATTATTAATTATTTTATTTAATATTATTGCTGGAATTACAGGTTATTATTATTGCTCGAAAAAGGGTTTTTTTTTAAAATATTATTGCACGAAAAATGGGGAAAAAATATTGAGTAAAAAGGCACCGGTTAACTGGTGCCAAAACTAGCTGCCACAAAAAAAAATGCGGGAGTTTATTTTAGGCACCGGTTAACCGGTGGCCAAAACAAGTAAAGGCACCGGTTAACCGATGCAAAAACAGGTTTAGGGCACCGGTTTTGAACCGGTGCCAAAAAGTGGGGTAATTGGCACCCCCCACATTGAAAGCGGTTCAAACCGGTGTCTTAGACCGGGTTTGAACCGCTGCCTATTGCTCTTTTTCTACTAGTGCAATCACAAAGAAAGCAAATAATCACAAATATTATGGGTAGAGAGAAAATGTCTCATTGATTATAAAGTAAAGCAAAGTTCAACATAAATTAATTGCAAAACGTTCTCAAAAGGAACTTAGATAGTCCTTACAAAACTGACTGAAAACAGGAAAAGGTCTGGCCGAACAATGAGTAGGTTCGGTTGGACTACTGTGTAGGTTCGATCGAACCAAGGGGTAGATTCGGTCGAACTTCCCTGCTCCTGGTTCAGTCGAACTTTTGGAGTTCAACCTTTCCTGCAAAAATGCTAAAATTTGGATTGCTACTGCCTGGGAGGTTTGGTCGGACTTCCTTGGTTCGGCCGCACCACTTCAATTGTTACGGTCTTCAAGTGTTATGATAGTCAACCCCAAGAGGTGACCACCAAGGAGCTTGGCCCGACAACGTGTCACAATATGTGGCACGTCTTCTACTTCTTCCACTAAGTTCCATGCACCCACGTCACTTATCATGCTTTTTTATAGTAAGGAAGGTGTCCATAGTTTGGGATTCAACACTTTGTTGCCACTCTATGGGCTTTATGGGTAACTAGGAACCAACAAGTCTTTTAGGGAACACTTGGGTCTCCTCAGGCGTTCAAGTTAAATCTAGTTGAGGTATGAAAGAATCTCCAAGACTACCTTAAGCCTGACCTCCGCTCTCTAGGAGTTCTTAAGGTTTATGATGATAATTGCCTTTCTCTGCCAGGGTTATTACAAGCTAAGCTTGGCCATGTGAAAACTGTTAATGGGATTTCTTTGAGCCACTTAGACCATACCGTTGCCATTGACGGGTCTTGGCATAAGGATACAGGTCAATATGGCATAGGATGGACGACTAGCTTCACCAACACTGTCAAGATGAAGGTTGGTGGGAGTTTTGGGATTACTAACTCAGCACTTATGGTAGAAGCAATAGCAAGCGTATCGGCTTTAAAGTGGGCTCATAGTCATAGCCTTATACATGTATGATTTACACAGATTTGGAGGTCCTAGTTGCTCTTCTTCGGCAGCCAACCAATACCAACATCAACCTGCATTGGACATTACAAGAGATTCGTCAACTTGGATCTCATTTTCAGCTCTGCAATGTCCATAAGGTAGATCATGACAAGGTTCAGCAAGCACACGTGATTTCTAATAATTGTCGTACAAATCTAGTTGCTTTTTCAGTTTTAGTTTAATCTTGTTTTTTTGTTTGTTTTCTACCTTTGTAAAAAAAAAGAAAATATATGCATTATATTATAAATTTTTGATATGCATATTAAGAAAAGAGTATCTTAGGCTATTGGAATGAAGTGTCATGTGTCAACCGTAACGTTCTGTAGTTCCCATCAAAAACTCAAGATTCTATCAATTCCATATCAATCAAAATAAAAAAACATGCACTAAAAACTTAAAAATTATGTTAAAAATCACAAATTATCGGTGTAAGAGTCACTTAATCATATGAAACTCAGCTTGAAATCTATTTGAGAATCACTCTAAATACTTCAAATACACAGATTAAGGTGATCCACTATAAAAAAATCCACAAAATTACGAAAAAAAATCTATTAACACTTAGTTGATATACTATTGAAATTTACTGACACTCGTTTAATCACAGAAGGTAAGATGATAATATAACAAACAAACAACTTGTGTAGTAAGTCAACAACCAATACAGAAATTACCTTTCTTTATTTTGGTTTTCTGAATGTGATCAAAGACGTTTAGGTGTTTTTCGACAATAGTAAATCAATAAAATATGGATAATTTCATAGAAAGCAATTTTTGCTTGATCACTCGAGTGCAATAACTACTAACTAAAATTAACACCGCAAATCTGATTTTGTTGGAGTTTTTTTTTTAGGGAAAACCATGAAAATTCCATTTAATTTTGATGGACATATATATATGGAGAGAAAGAAATCTTTTAGTAGTAATAAAAAAAAAGGTGTTTGAAAAAAAAGCCATATAATATGCATACTTTAAACATAAATGTATAATTTTGGTCAAATTCTATAATGAATTTTTTTAATTATTTTTTACGGGAAGGTAAAAAAAAAGATTTAATTATAAAAAAGGTATTGTAATTGGGTATATGAGTATTTGTTGAAATTATGCCTAAGTGGTATTTTTTTTAATATTGTAATGGCTATTTTCACTACAAAAAAAATAAGAATAGGCAACACATAAAATTGTAACAAAATAACAAATGTTGTCTTTTGTAGGAAATGGCAACAATTCTTATTTGTTACCTTGATCATACCAATCTATAGTACATGACAATGCAACCGTTGCAAAAGTGTTGCTTTAGAGTATGTTAGACAACAATATTATAAAATGTAGTCTTTTCTCTTACATAAGACAACATTTATTTCATATGTTACCCTACAAGATAACAACAATCAAATTGTTGTCTATATAAAAATATAAAAGTTTATATTATAAAAGCATTATATTATAATACCTATTTAACAACATATATAATTAAAAAAAAAATTGTATTTGATAAAGGAAAAATAAATATTGAACAAAATTTGTATTTAATTTTTTTTTTTAAAACAAAATACCAAACGTGTCAATGATTTTAGGTTTAAGGGGCGTTGAGTTATCACATTAAGTAATTCATGGGTCATCGTATCATTATCATTTTCATTCTTATCATTACCTATCAACTTATTATTTTTAAATCAAATTGGTGTTGAATTATCGACAATTTAATGTACCATATAGTATGAGTCACACTAAAGTGGTTAGGGTTAAACAGGTTGTGGGTTCATTGTAAATAGTTTGGATATAATGGGTAATAGACTTATAGGTAAAAACGGTTCTAATGGGTGGCCGGGTTTATATGATTTCAGTTAAACTTTTGGTGGGTTATACACAATAAAATTTGAGTTAAACTTATGGCAGGTTAAATATAAGCGATTCGGGTAAAACAAGTTAGTCGTAGAATGAAATGATTTAGGCTCATCATGTTTATATGATTTTAAGTACAATACTATTAGGTTTGAAACCTAATTGGTACAGATAGATCATTTACAACTCTATTTGAATTTCACCTTGTATTGGTTTATCAATTAGAAGATTATTTTATAAGCCCGTATATTTATAATTTTGTATAAAATTGTATATTCCTATAATTGGCATATCTTGACCAGAAATAGGGAGCTTAGATATGAAAATATGATTTAAAACTGATTTAATTTAATATAGGGCGAGTTACTATCGTTTTCAAAAGTAATCAATGTGCCACATTATTTTATAAATAATATGAAGTTATTTAACTTTTTTAACTCATTGAGACATTGATCAAAATAATTTACAAGGAGTTGAGCATTGATTGGCCTTGGTAGAAGGCCCCCTTTACCTAATTACCTATCAAATATTCAAAATACACATAATACTTTGTAAGAAAAATAGAAATCATAACATAAAACTCATTAAGAGATAAAAATTAGACCATTATCCTTATTTAAAAAAAATTAAACCTTTTTATAAAAAACTCACTTTTTTTTCTTTAATAGTTGAAATAAAAAACCTCATATACTCATAATTAAGAGATAAAAATTAGAACTTTCTTTAAAAAAAATAAAAATAAAAAAAATTACTGTAGAATTTTTATCTCAAAAAAAATAAAATAAAATAAATAAAGACAATCAATTACCGCGAAAATGGTGAATTGTTTTTTTGGGTTTTTCCACTAAGAATCAGTTACTCATAATTAACAACGCAAAAACCAAAAAAAAAAAAAAAAAAAAAAAAAAAAAAAAAAAAAAAGCGCAGCGAGAAACGCTTCTCTCTCTTCAATGGGTAATCTGCCACTGCCAGCCACCGCTGCTACCTGTGTGCCAACCTGCCGCCGCACCGTCCATCCACCGCACTCCAGTCTCCAGCCACCGCACTCCAGTCTCTAGCCACCGCACAACCACACTCTGGACAAGTTAATTCTGTAATCATACTTAACTATTGATTTTTAAGCTTTTAATTTGTTATTCTACATGAGTTGTTGGGTTGATTTTGTGCATAAATTACTTGTTTATGTTATTTAATCTATCAAGTTAGTGTGGATGTTGCTTGAAATTGATGATTTGTTATTTAGTTTATCAAATTAGAGAGTTAGGGTTTCTAAATTTTTTAGGAATTGATAATATTGGTTTTCTCGATTTTTTTTTTCCTTAGGAATTGATAATATTGGTTTTCTGGATCAGTCACTGGTGTAAGTTATCTTTAGGAATGAAATTAATTAATTGATTTCTATCAATCAAAATTCAAAGAAAAAAGGATTACAAGCTCAGCCCACCTTCTTTATGAAATTAATGACCAGATTATATAGTCATTATTTATCCTGCTTAACTTGAATTTGCTTGTATGATACTGTAGTAATGTTAGATTTCAGAATTGCATTTATTTCGTTAATATATGAGTTGTTGTACATTCAATTGTTGCTTAAGATCTGTAGCCATTTTATTGACATCTCCACTTGATTACATGTGTTTATTGATGGAAATAATTCACATACAATATTTTGTTAGATGCAATTTGGTACAATAATGTTTAGATGGAATAATTTGCATGCGATTAACTAATTTCTTTAATCAAGACATATTCTACATAGATGTTCAAGAATGTGGGTTGTGTGTGAGAGTTTGGTGTTAGCATTGCTTTTATGTGGAAAAAGTTGAGTTAGTGTTATTGTCTACTCTGTATTATTGTTGCTTGAATGTTAACATTGCTGCTATAGTTTTTCTGTTCAATTGCTACTGTATTTTGTCTGAAATTATTGCTGCATGTAATAATGTTGTTGTTGCCATGTTGTATTGCTGCTATTGTTACTTTGCAGTTGCCCCATAGCTGCAGTTCTGTCCGTCCCAAAATTATGGACCTACAGTCGTTTTTAGCCCCTAGCCCCTTCATAAACGTTATAGATCTTGAAAAGTTATCCAATCTAGGCTCAAAAATTTCTCAATTTGGAATTGTGTGCTGAAAGTTATGCCTTCTAGAAATTTCTGTGGTCTGCTAACTTGGTTCTATCACAACGAGGTTATTATTGTTCTCTTGATGCCTATGTGAGGTTGTTGCATTGAGTTGGGTAGGGTTGCTAAAAGGAATATTGTTCCTTTTCTTTTTTATTTTTATTCTATTTTCCCTACAATTTTTTACAAATTAATTACTTCTTAAATTAATATATGGATTTGGAAATACCGGTGTCTTTTGTAAACAAATGCTTGATTTTGGTGCATTTCTAAACTTGAAGTGATTGAGAAGAATTCTTGATGTTTTCAGAAATTAGCTTGAGAGAACCATACAAGTTATAGTTGTGCCAGATTATAAACGGATTTTGGGGCTCGGTTATCTTGGTTGTCAGGTGGTTAGATGTGCCCTAGCTCTAAATAGATCATTATTATTGTAAAACTTGTGTGATTTCATAGTTGTAAAAATGAACATGTTTGTGGAAAAATTGGCTCATTAAACAATACTTGGAGGAGTTTGTCCATTAAGGGTAAGCAAAATAGATCCTTTGTGAATTTATTATGTTGAATTTATAATTTGAGAAGGTTCGTCCTACCTCTCTTGTTTCAGTGTTTGCCAATAACCACTGATGTCAGGACTTACAACGAGAAAATGCTTAACGATGAGTTCTACATTGGTCTATGACAAAGAAGAGCCACTTGGAAGGTTGTAAAGCTTTTTTTAATTTTTTTTCTTTGATACATGTGATGAAAAATTTGTTACAGTATAGATTGAGGTTACATAACTTTTTTTTGTAGTAATATGATGAGCTTCTTGAGGAGTTCATGAGTGCAGTAAAGCAGAACTATGGAGAAAAGTTCTTGTTATACAGGTTTGTTACTAGACTTACTACTGTCTATGATTATAATTTCCGTTATTTAAAGTAATCTGTATCCTTTCATATTTTAAAATTTAATTGGATTTATAACTGAAATTCAAAGACTACCAACCATAATGCCTTCAAGCTGCTCTCAAAATACTCAACAAGTTATCGTGTGTTAGTTCAATGGTGATATTCAGGTATGTAATGAGAGAGATACGTTTTTATGTAATAATTTACTTTGTGTCAGCTCTAACCCCCTTTATTTTTCTTTCAATTCTATTCTTCTCTGCATAGGGGACTACATCTATTGTCCTAACAAGAATTCTTTTGGCACTGAAATTAGTTGGTGGCACCTTGGCAGAACATAGATTTTTATTTCTTGGACCAGGAGAGGTAAGAATGAAACCTTTTCTTTCTTTGACGTTGAGCTCTGAGTGTAAAGTGGTTCTGATTGAATTACAGTGAAGCTAACATTTTTATTCAATTACGGTGAAGCTGATTCCTGTCATATGACATTGTAGGCTGCCAAAGGTTTTAATTCATTGTTTAGAATTTCAATTATTTATCTTAAATTTTGAAAAAACTATATTATTCTTTAGCTTTTTTATTTGATTGGTATTACAGGTAAAGCACATGGAAGAAAGATATATATTGAAGACAGAGAAAGAGAGTTGATTTATTGGAGCTTTAGATTGTCTATAGTCAATTGACTTGTTTCCCGCTTTGGACATTACAATCCCTCCATTGTATATACAATTAGATACGAACAATTAGTGGTACTAATAATGTACTAGTTTGTCAATCTATTTAGCTTTTTTTAGGGTAGACACATTGTGTAGTATATTTACTTGGATATTGTTTTTGGATTTTGATAGATGTGTTCACATGCGTTATGATATAAAAAATTTTACATATATATTGATGTTTAGCTTCCATTTAGATTAATTTTTCTTCCATTGTTCAGTTCACACGTTTATTCATTATATTTCTTTCATTTCATATACAATAATTTTTTAAAGTGTTGTCTTTCAGATTTTTTGGCAACAATATTGTATTATTACTATCTAATAAAACAGATAAAGAGCTTGGTGCATATTATTATAGAAGAAAACATTTTTTTAATTGTTTTCTAAGATTGCAACAATTTTCTTTTGTTGCCTTTGTAACAGTGTTGCCTTAGGTATCATTATACCTTGGCTTTTAAAATTGTTGCCTTTGAACTAAAATGTGTTGCCTTAGGAATAGACAACGGGGGCATAAACTACGCCTCATATGTGTTGCCTTAGCTACAAGACAACACTTTTTTGATATTAGGCAATAGTTTTTCAGTGTAACCTTTGCTTTATTTTGTTGTAGTGTTGATATGGTTTATTAACGTGGCAATTTGATGATGTGGCTAAATAAGGGAAAGAAAATGACACATGATGGATTAGAACACCTTGCCTTTGAGTTTTAATAATAATATTGATTTGGATAAATCATAGAACGAGTTTCCTAGCCTTACCTAAGGAAGTTAGAGAACTAACCAATTACTCTAGCCTCTTATCTCGATTAATATTGTATTGTGGTATAGATTATATAAATTTCTATACTCCACATCATGGTTGGAGGTGGTTTAGGAGGTGGATAAACGATGAGTACCAGTGGGTTCAACCCACTGATTTTTTGAAAAAAGTATTAAAAAGTATTTTTTATAAAAAAAATATTAAAAAAATGAAAGTGAAGGTAAAAAATAAATATTTGTGTCAAAATAGAATGATGTAGTAGCGCAACTTAGTGGTTACCTGTACCTTGCATCCTAACTGTTGGTCTTGGAGATCAAGAATTTGATCCTTAGCGTGATAGTTGATAGTTTTTTTTTTTTTTTTTTTTTGTGTAGTTAGAATGTTACCTACAAAGGCATCAATTCATTAAAAATTAGTAATATATATTTTTTAAAATTTCTAGTAAAACGAATAAAAAAAAAATAAAAATAAAAACATCTAAGCTAATGTAGTGGGTAAGGAGAGGAGGAAATTTAATTTGAAAGAGAGAGAAAGGACAGTGAACAGGGAGATTTAGGTGATGACATTAATGCCAACCAAATGCCTGTTAGACATGTGTACTTGCGTTTGTCACTTGATGGGCGTTAGAACGGTCGCACATTCCACACTCAATCAAACACACTTATAAATAAGCATCCTAAAAACCAAGCATAATGATAAGTAAGAGTTCGGTCCAGAAGGAACAAGATATGGTTGCTAAGGATCTTAACACTTAAGCTAATCCAAAGTCTATGGTGATTTTGGGATCGTCAAGTAAATAAACAAACTATTATTCTAATTCAATGGATTAAAGACACTAGGCAATGGGATCCACTCAACTAAGGGAATTAGGCAAACGCGGAGTAAAATAGACAAGATATAGCAAGGACTATATGTAAGATCAACCTTATGCAATTAGAAAACAACTCACACTACCAAACTTTGATTCCTCATTAGTTTAGCAATAGAAGATACATAATCAAATTGCAATAAGTAATGACATACTCAATTCACATTTCCATAACTAAGCATATTATGCTATCAAGCTCCAAGTCAAGTGTAGTTAATCCTATCATGAAGAAATAACAAGCAATCTCATACAATCAATTTAATTTCAATACAAACATAAATGCTTCTCCTACATTTACATAACTAACCCAAAAGGTTGAGATTCACCCAACCCCTAGCAAGAAGACTACTACAACTCATATTAATCAACATGGAAACAAGGATTAGGGTTGTAACTACTTCAATAATTGGGAAAAAGTGGTTAAAAATTGAGTGAACTATCATCAAACAACAAATTATCAAGTACTAAAGAGATTCAAGTAACATGCAAATACCAAATAAATTAAGAAATTAAGTAGATAAAGGTTGAAGAAATTATTAAATGAAGCTTGAAATGTTGAATATAATGTGCCAAACCTTGAGTAAAATTCTTGAAACTCACTATTACAATGATTAATTTGATGAAAACTAAACTAAATTATCAAAATGGATTGTTTCAAACTAAGAGGGAATGCTAAATAATGTGCTACTGCTGTTTACCTTACAAATGAGCTTTGGGGAAAGTATTTGTACTCCCCGAATTACATAGGTTAATTTGTCAAAACAGGACGAATTTCAAGCACGGAGCGCCCGCTCCAAGGCCGGAAGCCCCCGCTCCAAATAGTTACGCGCTCACTCAAGCTTGCCTTAGAAGAAGTAAGAATTCAAATAATCAGGGAGCAGCGCCCGCTCCAAAGGCTCTACATGCCGCTCCTCTGTTCTCAGCATATGGCAGATTCTTCTTGCTAGGGGAGGAGCGCCCGCTTCAAGGAGGGTGCACTCCCACTCCTCCTTTCTTTAGAGTTGTGGTACAAAGTACTAGAACAACTAGGAGCGCCCGCTGCAACTAGGGAGCACGCCCGCTCCTCACAGGTTTTGATTTGGGGCAAAATGTTGCTGATTTCGATAGAGCGCCCGCTCTTGGAGCGGGCTCTCCTTTTTTTTGTTTTCAAGCTTTGAACATCATTCCATGATTTGAATGCTTGTAAAATTGAGTTATAATACCTGCAAAACATGGACAAAAACAAACAAAGAGGGGCAAGGCCGAGACATAGCTTTTATATACAAAACGGATGAGAAAGAGGGGAAATGACAGCAAAACTTGGTTAAATTCACCACAATAAGTGGTCAAATAAACCACTTATCAAATCCCTTTAAGCTAGCCAAATGCATGTCCTCAAATAAAACTAAAGGAGGAAAGAGTAGAAAAACCAACAAAATAAACAAATGCTACAAAATAAGAGGGAAAAGGTAAAACCAAGACCAAATGCAGAAAATTAGGCATTTATTGAACATGAAAGCTATGAAAAGATGAAGAAAACAACCTAAATTCCCATCAAATGGGTGCCATTTATGACACCCATCAAATACACCCAATATTACTTAATGCTCGTCCTCGAGCAAAACAAAACCAAGGGAGAAATGATGAGCTTATTCAAACAAACAAGAAGAAGAGAAGAGACAAGAAAATACACTAACTCACTTTCGTAGGAGTCACGGTCAGTTTTAGCAACTAAAGACAAGTCATTTAAACCCCTAGATCGCCCTAGAGGACGATTGATGCTCTCGAAAAGGTTTCCCAAGAGATTAACCTATAACACTTGTAATAATACAAACAAGGAAAAGCATGAAAAAGAAACCAAAATACAAGAAAAGCAAACAAAAGTTCATGAAAGGATTTTTCTAAATGTACAAGCATAAATGAATGCAAATCTTTCAAAACACGTAAGGGAGTGCACGTTCTAAGATATCTAAGGTTGATTGAAACATAGGACATGTTATAAGCATAGATACCTAATGGAACGCTATTCACTTTCATCTCTGTAGACACCTAAAAATGTCTCCCTAAAACCAAACCCGATGATGAACAGCCTTTCACCGCCATTATTGGTCGGGTTGATTATTTAATCTTTGGAATGATTAAATCCACATTAAATCCAAATACATTTCATAAAAAAACCCAATTCCTAGCCAATTTTCCAAAAGCATAACTTATTTTCCTCTTTTTCGTGCCTTTAAACCCAAAATAATTCATTTCGTATCCTTTAAAATCATTCATTTCGTGTCCTTTTTATAAAAATGTTTAGTTGAGTTTGTTTTGGTCCATAATTTGGGTCACATTTTTGAATATTTTGATGGGGCTTGAAAATAGAATTCTAATGATATATTATAATCCCAAATCCGAGTTATAACGAATAAGTTATGGTCAAAATACTAAACTGAGCCCAAACTGAACCTAGGCCCACCATACCTACGACCCAATGATCATGTGGAGGGTCCAAATTATTTAATACCATTCCTAAACCAATTAGATTAATTAGAAACTTTTATAAGTTTCTAAAAGATATTAATTATCCTTTTTGAAAAGATAAGATTAAAGAGTTTGAAATTGAATAAAACTTTTCATTTTTGAAAATCCTATGTCTATCCGAATTGAAAGACGTTAAAATATAGACAGATATTATTTTCATGCCTCATAGTTTTTATCCAAACTTTATATGGTTGGATATACCTTGAAATTATCTTTCTAATGATATATTATAATATCAATTCCGAGCTATAATAGAAAAGATATGAATAAAATGCCAAACTCTAACCAAAATTGACACCGTCTCACTATTTCGGCCATATCTTTTATTCTAAAAAAAGTTTTTATCTGATTCCAATTGGGTTAGAAATATACTTCAATATATTTCCAAAAAAATATCTTATTTATCTTATTCCAATTTCTGGATCAAAAGATATGATAAAAACAAAAAACCGCAAAAACTGCAGTCTATCGAGTTTTATTCCGATTTAATTCGGATCTTATCTTGTTTTTTCAACCCTTCTTTTTTCTCTATAAATAGAGGTCATATATCCCCTTTTCAATCATCAACAAGCTTGATCATCAAATAATTCTCTTCTCCCTCTTTAGCCTAAATACTAGCTATCTTATTTTCTCAAAATACTTCCCTTAAGCACTCCAAGGAGTCCATACTTAACCCGAGGTTCCGTCCTTAAACCAAGGCGTGAAAAGGTAGAATTAACTGAGGGTTTGGACCAAATTAACTCTACTTTTAATTTAATTTTTTCAATTTGATTTATATTTTTAATTGAAGTTACTAACAACTTATTTATGATGTAGCAATTTAAAGGAACGTGCGGAATGTGAGTAATTAATTAATTTAATTACTCTTATTTTATTTTAATATTTATAGTATCATAAAAAGGTTATTTTATATTTGATTTGACTAATGCTATTATTTTTAAATTGCTTCCAATATTCATGGTTATTTTATTTTTATTATTATGATCACCATATTGCATGTTTAAAGGGAATATGTAATTGAAAGTCACGCCTA